AACCACTTGTACGCACATCCATTCATCCCCAGCCTTCATTCCTCTGTGTTTTATTTGGGTTGTTATATAAATGGTATCTGACATAGAATTCCTCTAACAATAGTAAGCTCTTTGGGAATGTGGACTATGATTCATAACTTTGTATTCCCCGAAAGTGCTAACGTGATTCTGAATGTAGTAGTCCCCCTAATCCACTGGGGATGTGTCCCAAGACCCCCAATAAATGCCTGAAACTGCAGATAATACTGAACCCTATATATACTATGTGTTTTCTTTTCCTAACCATACACACCTATGATAAAGTTTAATTTATAATTAAGGCACAGTAAAAAATTAACTAAAAGTAAAATAGAATAATTATAACAGTATACTGTATATAAAAGTTATATACAGTATAACTTTGTTGTAATAAAAGTTATGTGAATGGCTTTGGAGCCACCATTAGGTAAAATAAAGGTTACTTGAACACAAGCATTGAACACAGTCAGTCTAATAACCCAGAAAGGCCACTGAGTGTCTAAATGCTAATAGCATATACAGCAAGGATACACTGGACAAAGGGATGACTCACGTTCTGGGCAGGATGGACCTGGACTGTGTGAGGTTTCATCGCGCGGCTTACGAGGGTGCACAATTTAAAACACATGAATTGTTTGTTTTCAGAATTTTCCATTTACTATATTTGGACTACAGAAAACGAAACTGCATATAAAGGGGGGTGGGACCACTGTACATAGTAAGCCATTGAATGATTATGTAAATACATATCTTTTTCTACTCTTATTTCTTGTTTTGATATTTCTTTGGTCTTTAGGGCCTTTCAGAGAATGTTCTAACATAAACCCCTAGCTTCACCCTAGTCAAATTTTTTGTGTCTTCTAGTTAATCAGTTGTAGTATTTGTCCTTCTTGATTAAGAAATTGTTAGCATTCCTCTGCCTTCTACTACTATTATAAGTTTTTATTTATAGCCTCTCCTTAAAGTTTCTATGTATTAACCCCTTTCTTCCACAAATTAAATTCATCTACTGATAAATTTGGAATATATATACTGTTAAGTACACTGGCAAATATGCTGATATGATTGGAAAATATCCAGTGGCCAGAATTATGATTTTGACACCTAACTGACTTTCATGTATGGCAAATGAAATTAATTAGTCTCACTATTTTTTAGTTAAATATGATATCATTGACTAATCTAAGTAAAGCATGTATTTAGGACATTTTGTTCTTACCCAAGAAAGGTAGGGAATTTGCAACATTATCATGTAAAACAGTTTTTTCTCTTTTTAGGTAAGAATGGCAGGTATTACTTTTTATAATTTGCAGTGAGCATCATCATAATTGAAGCTATTAAGAATCAACATATAGCGCACCCTGGCTAGTGTGGCTCAGTAGATTGAGCACCAGCCTTCAAGGTTAGCAGTTGGATTCCCAGTCAGGGCGCATGCCTGGATTGCTGGCCAGGTCCCCAGTTAGAGGCGTTCAAAAGGCAACCAATTGATATTTCTCTCAAACATCGATGTTTCTCTCTCTCCCTTCCCTCCCTCTAAAAATTAATGAAAAATTTTAAAAAATCAACTCAAGCAAAAGGGATTTTATCCCAAGAATGTTTTTTCAGGTAGATTCTATTTCTATGTTGTGATTGAGGTTGGCTACTCAGAGTCAGGAACCTTGTTAAATCACCTGGAAGCAGAATCCCAAAACATAACACATGGAAGATTAGTTCTCCCTAACCCGTCTTGGACTTTATAACATAGTTACGAGAGTATGTTGAAATTGAATCCAGTGGTTTAGTAATGATCAAAGGTGTTTACCCAAGCCTACCTGTTTTCTGTTTATGTGACTTAATTTTCCTAGGAAAAAAAAGAGCCTTAAATGCATGTACACTTAACTTGTAATGGCCTTTTAAAGGTTGTTTGAAATTTAAATCAAAGTATTCTTTATAAGTTTTACATAATATTTATAGTTAATATCATTTTAAAATTTCATTCTTATTTTTTTTATCAATATTAGGTTTTTTTCTTTTTTCTTTAGATTTAAGTTCATTATGGAATTACATGTAATCAGTTTTCCTATATGTATTTATGATCTAGGCCTGGAGAAAAATAGAAGACAACTTTTAATGTGACAGACTCAAGTTAACCATGATTACAAGTTGCCCAAATAGCATGAAATAGATAAAAAAACAAAGCCTTTTGAGTTGATGGTTTCTCAAAGCCTCAGTTCAGTATGAGCTATTGTAAGCTTAGTTAACCTGCTTGATCTTAGATTTCTTATCTGTAAAACAGGAATGAAAATAATAATGTATATGTGAAAACATTTAAATATTTTACCAAGTAATATATTGTCTTCTAGAACTAAACAACTTAAGAATTATTTTTGGTGATTGGTTTACATGGTAGGCAAAAAAAGCCATCCTTCTCTATTATAAGCATCTTACTAGTTTTTCTTAAGTTCTCTGGTTAAAACTATAAAATTATGGAAGATTTGGTTACTTGTACAACTTTTTTTAAGTGCTGTTTGATTCTGCAACAATTATTTAACTTGTTAATTGGGGCAGTTTTAGGAGATGCTAGAGATAAAAATAGACTTAGTTACCTAGATCAGTGACTGAGCGGTTTTTTAGCATTTGTTTTGTTCCCTGTGTTAGGTGTTTGACATGCCAACTTGAATGAAGTTGGGACGCCATGGGACTTGAATGTTGAGTGCAGAAGCTAAACCTTAAGATAGAAGAATATAAAATGTTCTGTTAGAGTTCAGTACTGTTTCTGACATTTTATCAGTTAAATGTTGTAATAGTTTTAGAATATTATATATGATCAAGAATATTAAATGAAGCCTATACATTTTCTTGAATTTTATTTATTACAACCAAATTTTTAGAGTCCCTTGTTTTGGTTAAAGTGTTGGGGGACATTTTTAATTAAGCAATTTTAAAACCTTATCCTTATTGTTTCAAAGTATTGTGATAACAGAAAATAGGTCTGTGGTTGCTAGAGGACTGAGGATGGAGGGAGGCAGACTGACTACATGGGACTAAGAGGGAACTTTTTGGAAGGGAAAGAGGAGAGGGAAGGAAGGAAAAGGAGAAGGCATGACAATTTTTCAGATAATTTAAGACTGCAGTTTTTGGCATAAGAGAAAATAAACTTGTCTATCAGTAAAAAACAAGTCTAGGATCTTCTGAAAGTTACAAGAAAGCAGTGTTAACTAGACATTTGGTTGTTTTTTTAAGAGGTAGTGTTGGAATAGAATTTTCTTTATGTAGGTGATTTTTAAAGACTTTTCCAATGCTTGAGGTAAATGTGAGAATCAACTCCAGGGTGGGTCACCCCATCAGCCACCTAGGTTGGTTTCACTGATGTCGCAGCTTAACGGGGTCACTTGCTTTTAGCAAGACTTAAGGCAGATTCCTTCTGCGCCCCTATTTCAGACATTTGGCTGCCTGTAAGTAGCTGAATTCAATTGGCAGGAAAGGCCCAACTCTCAAATGCTGTCTATTTTCTGACAAATTTACTTTGATTCACTCTCTCTCCGCAGCCCCACCACCACCCTTGCTTCATCCTTTGGTTTTCCCAGACAATTTACTGCTGAAATTTAGGTAGTTTAGGTCACCTTGATCTAATCATCCCAAAATAATTTTCCTTTTTTTAGTCATTATTGTGTTAGATAGAAAATCAGGGAAGCCTCTTGTCAGTTTCTCATATAGTAACCCCACCTCTCTACACACACACACACACACACCCCCACCCTGTAGAAAATACTTTTTTCTGATTCTTTCTGAAGCAGTGCTGTAAAACAGAATTTCTCACCTGTGGTCAGTCTCTCGACTCCCTCAAAGTATATATATGTGAAATTTTGTGTGTGTGCGTGCATTTCTTGGTGGAAAAGGGGTGTTGGCATTCATTAGATTCCCAAAGGAGTGTATTTAGAAGATTAAGAATTACTTAAACCAACAAATCAGAGTTTTCTTAGCTAAGATAAATCCCTATTTTTTTGTTTTTATACAGCATGTCTTTCAGCTGCCTTTAGTTAAATTCCAGACTGAGATGTGGTGAACAAAGACCAGGTTAATTGGAAGCCTTCCCTAAGCCCCCTGTTTGAGACTAGGAGTCCTTCTTCTGTTATCTCAGAGCAGCCTCTGCTCACTTCTGTCAGAGTATTTGCTACATTATAGTGATAGGGTCCATTTATGGGACTATCTCCCTTTATTAGATTTGAAGAGTGGGCCTGGATTGTATTAATTTTTGTATTCCAAACATTGGGTATCATACCAGCTACGTGGTAGATGCTTAAAAATGTTCTGACCTGAACCATTTACCCATAGTCGGCCAACAGATTCCTCGTTTCTTCCCAAGCAGCCAGTGTTTTGAGCACTTACCCTGAGCCAGGTATAATTTTAGGCATTGGAAATACAACGGTAAACACACTGCGTGGCATTTATGGGCTATATCCAGAGGACAAATGATTTTTGCCACTCCCTAGAGCTGCTACCTGTGAACATCCGCATTTAAAATGGTGCTCATCTTGCAAAAACTCCCCCTTTTATAGCAGACATTAGTTATATGCACATGTTCTGCTATTTTCATCACTCAGAACAAAAATGGAAATGCTTTTTCTAGTCATCCTCTAAACGATCTATTAAATGTCTCCCCAAAATATTATTTTTCTGAATACTGCTGTTAATAGTTTATCTCTAAAAATAGAAAATATGGATTGAAGGTACTGATAAAAGAAGTGTCAACATTTAGAACCATGTTCTGCACATAGAAGTGCAGAAGTTTTTTTGTTTTGTTTTTTTAAACTCAATAGGAAAAAATTCATGATTAAAAAATTAATAAAGCAAAACCTTCATGCCTGGTTCAGTAGTTTGCTCTTTTCTAGCTTATACATATTTTTAATTCCGTGGATTTGGGTTTATGTCAAACTAACTATGCAGCACTGCCATAAAGAGGAATTGATTCTTGATGGACTATAACTTTATTTTTGAAACAGGATGTGATATGGTCTGACTTTGGGTTTTGTGGAAGAAATGGACGGGAGAGTACATTGTGGATTGGCTCCCTGGGGGCTCATACGCCCTGCCATCTGGACTCCTACGGTTGCAATTTAGTGTTCCAGGTACAAGGAAGGTACTACACATGCCTGTGCACGAGAGAGTGTGTGTGTGTGTCTGTGTGTGTTGCACAGGAGGAGGAATCAGGAGGCAGTGGGTCCGCAAGCTCTCGTCCCAGTTCTATCCTGTCATCCTGCCTCATGACCAGTGCAGATCTCTTGACCTCTGGTTGTTTCCTCCTTTGTGAAGTGAAGGGAACAGTCTAAATGGTGGTTTTCATGTGAGTCTCAGCCATGTTCAGGATTGCCTTCAGAAAGCTGATCATGGAATTCCAGGATTTCACTCATAATTCAGCTGGACAGCTCTCTGCTTAGCTCTTTTACATAAGAGGTTGTGTAGTTTTCAAACTTTTATTTGAAAGCAGGAGCACCCTTTCTTCATACCTGAATAAGTAAGAGCAGAGCAGTTTTGTTGAAAGGAAGAGGCAGGCTTTGCTGCTACTCCAGGCCCCCGAGGGGATGCCAGGGATCCTGGTTTGAGAACTGCTGGACCAGAACCTCATCTTTCACTCCAAATTTTAGTTTGTGCCTATCTGTAGACACAATGCAGTATTTTTTTTTTTTTAACTTTAGGTCAGTTTTGTATCCTCAACTATCTGTGGACCCTAAGAGATAGAAGGGCTAAGTCAGGTAATACTTTCAATAACTACTTCTAGGAGTTATGTAAAAATTTAAGTGTTTCCGCCATTTGGAAGCTGTACTCCAGCTGTTGTATATGCAGCCATATTTTCCCCTAATTAATGATATACCCTGGTTTCTTCTCCTGGCCTCAGGGAATTTACAGGCAGCACAGAAAGAAAAGCAAAAATGGTCATGAGGGTCTTGACTCCCAAGCAAATGCCGCGTATTCTCTGTGTTCTTTCAGCTTGCAGAACCATGAGAAGTTTTTTGAGCGGGGGATGACATGATTGACTACATTTTCTGATAAACAAAAGAAGGATGCATATATATTACATTTTAAGCCAAGCAAATTGTGTGGGATGGTTATCATTATGGCTCTTCCTTTGGGAAACAAGCTATGGTGCAGAGGTAGCAGCTGGGACCTGGAAAGGTCAGGGGATGTGTGACCAACTCTGGCTCTGCCTCTATCCATTGCCCAGTGAACAACCCAAGCAAAGTGCTGGGTCCCCCCTTCTACTACTTGGAAAGTAAAATTGACTCATGATCTAGGAGTCCTTCCAACTCCTAACATTGGAAACATACTAAATACCAAAAATTTTTCTAAACCAGTCTTAGATGTAGTAGAATGGAGCAGCTTTATCATCTCTAAGGCAAAATAAAACTTTAGTGTATTAATTCTTAGTTTGAAAATAGCAGCCCGCTGCTTCCCAGTCTGAAAGGACATGACAGCCCCACTGTAAGTGCTTTGTGGGGCTGTCATGTCCTTTCACTAGTGGGCTCAGGGCTTCAGGCTTTTCTCAGAACTAGGTCTTTTTCTCTCTGTTTCTTTGCTTCCCCTTCAGTGTATTTCTGTCAGTGTCTCTTCCTTTTTGACACTTCTCCCTGCTTTGCCTCCCCTGTCCTCCCTGTATTGGCTCGAAGTATGCATGTGTCTGGTGTTTTGTAAGTTAAAATTTATCACCTCCATTTTTCAAAAATTTTTAAAGTGAAACATCTTAACAGTTTACTCTTTGAAAATTTCTGTATTATACTACTTTTTAGTTATGGGGCCTCATTTATGCATTTCTCTTCCTTAATGAATTAACAAATGTTTAATGTAAGGAATTTACAACCCAAACAGTAAGAAGTGTGGAGACTATTTGGTGGGTAGAACTACGGTTGGTTGCTCTGGATAATATATGAATACAGATACTTGAAAGGGTGGGGATTATTCTGGGTAGCTCTAGAATCAGGGGTAGAAACAATTTATGAGAACTTTGATTTTCAATAAGAATTATCTTTCAAACTAGATCCTGTCCCAGCAAAGAGGCTGCCTCAGGGCATCATGAGATACCCTTAGGAGCTGCCCTGGGCACCAGGCTTTAGCAGAGGAGATTCCAGCACTTTCTGAAAGGCAGGCCAGGAGACCACAGACATTGCTCCTTTGTTCATTTATGGAGTAAATGAAAGGGGTAAAAACAAACACTTTGCTGCCTTCTTACGTGTTTTGTCTCAAGTTCAGAGTACTAATGTGTATCTTATTTTTTTAAATTAGGAAAAGATGGCATCTCTTTCCTCCTGAAGATACTCCTTTCCTATATCCAACTAGAATCCCTTATGAAGAATCTAGCGTGTTTAGTAAAATCAATGTCGTCAATCCTGATTTAAAACGTTTTCCTCAGTTCCAGAAAGCTCGAAGACATGTGGTTACACTGAGCCCAGGACAGGTAATGGGGGCTTTAAAACCTTGATGGCCTGTCCGAGGACACCCTAGCTGTAACTTCTCTTGAGTCCTTAAGCCACGTGCCTCTCCCTTTCCTCCCCTCCTTCCAATACAAATAAGAATGGTTTCTTCCCTGGTGCTCTGCTGTTGGAAGGTAGCTTTTCCACTTAAAGGCTTCATTCACATATACACTTCTCTGCTTCTCAGTTCTTAGAAAGTTGGGATCAGGGAACACAGCTCCTCCTACTGGTAAAGAGGAGAACAGACTGTGGAGAAGACAGCTCTGGAACATTTATTCACAATCAATATCTGTTCAACTGTGCTAGAACCCAGACACATATACCCAAGTTGTAATGCATCTAGGTAGTGGGTCAACAGACATAGAATGAGCAGAAAATTATTTGCTTCTAAGCAAGAATGGATGTTGCTTTCATAACTGTCTCTCAAACATTTTCAAAGGTATTGTACCCAGTAGGGAAAATCACCTTTACAACACTGGCACTTGCTGTCTCATGTTTTATTGCCCATTTGAAAGGTGTTCTTAGTCTTTTACAGAGAGTTTATTCCCTCAGCTATCCTCCTCCCTGCCTGTTTCCCTTCCTCCTCTCCGCTCTCACTGGCTCCCTTCCTGCTTCCTTCCTACTTGAGTACTCCAACTCAAACAGTCTGACCTGACCAGGTTGCCTCAACCCGTTGGCAGTTACTCCCCTTTACCTGTCCTCCCCTCCCCCTGGCAACCACTGACCTGTTTTCTTTCTCTATAGATTTATCTATTCTGGACATTTCACATAAGTGCAGTTATACACTATATAAGTTTTTGTGGTTGGCTTCTGTCACTTAGAATAATGTTTTTAAGGTTCATCCATGCTGCAGAATGTTATCAGTACTTCATTTTTTTATGGCTGAATATATTCCATTGTATGGAGATACATTTTGTTTATCCATTAATCAGATGATGGACATTTGGGTTGTTTACACTGTGGGGCTATGATAAATAAGGCTGCTGTGAACAGTTGTTCACAAGTTGTTGTACAAACATGTTTTTAGTTCTCTTGGGTATGTATTTAAGAGTGGAATTGCTGGGTCATTTAGTAACTCTATGTTTAACTTTTTGGTGAATTACCAAACTTTTCCACAGCAACTGCACATTTTACTTTCCTGCCAGCAATGTACAAGGGTTCCAATTTCTCCACATCCTCACCAACACTTGTTATTTCCCTTCACTATTATTGTTGTTGTTATAAACATTTTTCTTTAATTTTAATATACAAATTTGAATGAGTATTTGTCCTATCAGTTTTTCTTACCTCCTGCTTGTTCCTTAATCTGCCTCAAACCAGCTCACTTGCTCTCAGTACTTCTACTGAAAGTATCCTCAGCAATAGGATATTCATGACCTCCTAATGATGAAATCCAGTGGTGGTTTTTAGTGTCCCATTCCACTAAAGGAGCTCTCTTCCCATCTCCCAGCTTCACTCTATCCATAGAAAGTGCCAGCAGTTTACTAAATCTGGAGCCTAAAAGCTTCAGGTCATCTCCATGTGCTCTACCCAGCCTTCCATAAGAAATCTCATACTGAGTTTGGACAAGTACAGTCCTCCTTGACTCTTCCTGTGGCTTTTGTCTACTATACCTTCCAGCTTTGATCCTAACATTTTATAATTGAGCTATTGCAAGAATCTCTTGACCTTCCCAGACTCTCCCATAGTGTCACTATTGTAACCATCCACCTACACAAAGTTTCTCAGCAACTCATAATGCCAGTAGGATGAAATCCAGATTCTGTATTCTGATTGCAGAGCCCCCCACCCCACATACCCTGACATAACTAATTCTCCTACCTTTCTCTCAAGACCTGCTTGCTGTGCCTCAGCAGTCCCATCTCCCTTTTCTATGCCACATCTCCCTCCTGCTATGCCCTCCTTCTTTGCTCTCTAAATTTCTCTACCAATCCAGATTCAAATCACACTCTCTCCGTCCAGGTGCCCCTGACGTTAGTTCCTGTCTGCTTCTCCCATCTTTGACGTTCTCTTATAATAATGTACACTCATCTAATTTATCACTTGTGTAATGCCACCTTTCTACTTACTACTATTTCACTGGCTAGATTTTAGACTGTAGGGAGACAGAAACTATGTCCTATATTTTTACCTATGCCCTTTCTCAGAATGCATACAACTATTTTGATATGGAAAGGAGGAAATATTAGAATCTCAGAATCCTTTACTAAGATTTAATGTAAACAGAGAAAGTCTGAGTTAAGGAGAGTAGAGACTGGAGAAGCTGACAGTATCCTTTATAGAACATATGAATTTGTCATTACAAGAAGAAATAAGAGAGAGAGAGGAATCAAGATGGCGGAGTAGTGAGTGGAAGTTACACTGACCTCCTCCCAGGACCAACCTGGAATGACAACTAAATTGTGGAGAAATCACCTGGAACAAACAACTGAACAATAGCAAGAGAGGAGCCTTGTAACCTCAGAGACAGAAGAATCGGCTTTAGCGCAATCTGACTGGTAAGGAGTGCGGTACAGACCTGAGAAGGTGGGCAGGGCCCCCACGGACAGCAGCACCAGAAGGATATTGAAACGGCCAGTTGGATCCCCCTGAGAAGAGCAGGGTCTAAACCAAAAGCGGGGATCTCTAGCCCACAGCACCAGATCCCAAAAAGTACCCAGAAAACAGCCAGCTGCAAAAAGCAGCAGGGTCACTCTCTGCCAGAGACAGGCAGCTGGAGACGCAAAGAACCATTTAAAGGGCCTACACAAAATTTTTATTTGCAGCCACTTACCCTGGTCTCCGTCAAAGGTGGGGGGCAGAGTGGGCTAGAAATGCCTGAGGAGAGACTGGGGAAGGAGGCTTTGGGGAGAGAACTGAGAGAATAGCCGGCAGGATCTCGGTGCTGACTCATCCCCCATACGGCAACAGCATGAAAGGACCCAATAACCCTGCCCCCAGGAGGGACTCTGCCCCGCCCTGAGCTGTCTAAGGTGGCCTGCTGAGTGCAGAGAGAATAGATCAATGGCTGAAGGACACAGTCACAAACAGTAGATTACCGGAAGTCTCGAACAGACTGCCTGAGGCCAGACAGGATCAACATCTGACATCCTCAGAGGCAAATCCAGAAAGTAAACACAGCGGTCTCCAACCATAGAAGTTCACACCACAAAGTCAGGAAATCAAGACAGATCAATTTAAGAAGCAGAAGCAAAAGAGGAGTCTCACAAATAATGGAAAGACAAAGAAATAACCCCCACTTGAAGGGAAAGGAATTCCCAAAAAGAGAACTAAATGAAATAGAAGCAAGTAAATTATCAGATACTGAGTTCCAAACAACGGCTCTAAGGAAGTTCAGTGAGCTCAGAGAGAATTACAGAAAACTACAGGGAAACTACAAGGAACTTACTGCAAACTATATCTGCATGAAAAAGGACATAGGAACTATCAATAAGAGACAAGAGGAAATGAAGAATACAGTTTCTGAATTGAAGAACACAGTAGAAGGAATCAAAAGCAGGCTAGATGAAGCTGAGGTCCGAATCAGTGAGCTGGAGGATAAGGTAGAAAAAAGCTCCCAGAAAGAGCAAGAAAATGAAGAGAGACTGAAAAAGAATGAAGAAGCATTGAGGGAAATGCAGGACAACCTGAAACGTAATAATATCCATATAATAGGGATACCAGAAAGAGAAGAGGATAGGAAGGGATAGAGAACCTGTTTGAAAAAGTGATGATGGAAAACTTCCTTAATTGGAGGAGAGAATAAGTCACACAAGTCCAGGAAGCACAGAGGAGCCCAGTGAGGCCCACTCCAAGACACATCATCATTAAAATGGCAGATATCAAAGACAACCAGGGAATCCTAAAGGAAGCAAGGGAGAAAGAGGTAGTAATAACATACAAGGGAGCCCCAATACAGCTAGCAGCTGACTTCTTAACAAAAACCCTGCAAGCCAGAAAGGAGTGGCAAGAAATATTCCAAGTCATGAAAAGCAAAAGCCTGCAACCAAGACTGCTCTACCCAGCAAAACTCTCAATTTAAATGGAAGGTGAAATAAGGAGTTTCCCAGACAAAAGGAGGCTAAAAGAATACACCTCCACCAAACCAGCACTGCAAAATATGCTAAAGGGACTGTTTTAAGATGAAAAACTTTCTGTGAATACCCAGTTCTTTTCAGATTTGCCAATACTTGATATTACCAATATTTTTAATACTCATTAACCTGATTGTGACAATGTTATTTTAATTGTTCCTTTATTATTTGTTGAAACTAAACCTGTTTTAGTATATTTCTTGCCTATTTCTGTTATTTTTTTAAAAAAAGCTTTAAATAACTTCGGTATTCTTTATCCATTTATTGATTAAGGGTTTGTAGAACTTTCTCAAAACAGAAAAAAAAAAACCCTATTAACCATGTTTTAGATGTGTTGCAGATACTTTTTTATTCTATTCCTTGTCCTTTAACTTTTTTTATATGTATATTACTATACAGTTAAATGTTTAATATAGTCATATGGTCAATATTTACTTTATAGCTTCTGGGTTTGAATATTTTACTTCATGTCATGAAAAATATTGGTTCTATTTTCTTCTAAAACTCCTTAGATTCTACATATTGATTTTTAAGTCACCTGAACATATCTTGTATAATGTGTGAAATAGGTCTCTATATTTGTTTTATTTCAAGTAATAGTGGTCCATGCACCTTATTTGTTGAATAAACCTTATTTTACCCATTGACTTGAAATATCAAGTTAATCATATATTGTTGTACAGGTATATACATTTGCCTCTGGAATGTTCATTATATACTTCATTGATCTACTTGATTATTTCTGTGCTGGTGTCATGTTGGTTTAATTGCTGAGACTTTATAGGAGTTTTAAATTTTTTAAATATTTTCTAATTAACTTTGGCATTTAAAAAAATAAAATCAATCTGTATTTAAGAAAGAAAGAGAGATGGAACTGCTTCCTTTTGTGATAACATGGATGGAATGGAGAATATTACGCTAAGTTGATGAAAGACAAATACCATATGATCTCACCTATAAGTAGACTCTATTCAACAAAATAAACTAATGAACAAAATAAACCACAGGCATGGAAACATGGACCAGACTGAAAGTGACCAGAGGGGATGGGGAAAGAGGACAGTGGTGGGAAGAAGAGGAAGGGACTAGACAAAGAACATGTATGAATGACCCATGGACATGGACAACAGAGTGGGAACTGACTGTGGGAGTGGGATGGTGGAGGAGGGTAAAGAGGGAAAAATTGAGACTGGTAAGAGAATAAACATGATTTATAAATTAAAAAATAAAGTAAAATTTAAAAAAAGAGAATAATAGAATTGGGGGGGGGTTTCCCTTGTTTTCCCTTCCTACAGCAATATTGCTATAAAATCATTTGTATTATTGTACTTTCTTTTTGTAGTATCTTCTCCATTAGGATTTCATTCTGATTTAAAATAAAGTATCTTAATATCATATGATTCCACTCATATGTGGAATCTAATGAACAAACTGAACTAACAAGCAGAACAGAGACAGACTCAGAGCAAACTGACAGTTAGTGGGGGTAGAGTAGGGGGTGAAGGAATTGAGCAAAAAGGAAAGGGACTCGGGGACATGGACAACAGTGTGGTGACTGTTGGGAGAGGGTGTAAGGGGACCAAATGGTAATGGAAAAAAAATACAATAAACATTAAATTAAAAAAATAAAAATAAAATCTCTCGTGCTAACCATTTTTTGTTTGGTTTTCAGGTTCTGTTTGTTCCCAGACACTGGTGGCATTACGTAGAATCCATTGATCCTGTCACTGTCAGTATAAACTCGTGGATTGAGTTGGTACTTTTTTTTTCTTAATAAATGTATTCCCTGCTTTTAAGCTACACAAAGCCTGTTTATCGAATGTGGTGATTCATTTTAAACAACATTCCAGTGTTACATTGTGTTGCTATGCTATAATTTATGTGTTCTATCATTTGTTGATGGATGTTTAAGTTGGACATAGGATTTTTAGCCATGTGCCATTTTTTCTTTTAAGGGCACACAGAGAGCCCTGAGGTTGGCGTGCAGGGTCTTTTTCTTTGACCAGTGTTGTTAGGAGAATTGCGTTGGGCCTGGCTGCCTCTGCCATGTATGTCTCATGTCCCCAGTCCCATTTAAACCATCTGGGCCAGAAATAATCTGCTTCTTGGTTCAGGGCTCCCATAACTAATTGCAGAATTCTCAGTCCTGGTTCATACATTTCTCCAAGCAAAGTCTTTTGGTGCTAGGATTTTATCATTTCATTTCTGCCAGAAGCCTTTTCCCTCCAACACACTATGCTTAATCCTGGTTGCCTGTTCCACTTAACAATTAAAATGACTACTCATTCAGCTCAAGTCTCCCTCTTCAACCAAAGGCCTTAATTTCATCTCTGTGCCCTTTAACCAAAGGTTTTGACTGCACCTATGCCCTCTTTAACCCTAGAGCTTCATTGCATCTCACCTCTCCCTAACCCAAAGCCATGGTTATACTAACTCCTCTCTTTGGCAGCTGTATTCTCCCCTCAGTCAGGCTTTTCTTACACTTTGGTAATGGGAAAGGCTTTGATGGAACATAAAACAATACTGTAATAGGAAGGTGTATTGTATGAGCTTAGACAAGAGCCGTAGCCCTTGGGAATTAGGTGCGAGGTATGGCAGGAGATCAGTAGACTCACAGAAGTTCCGGTAGCCTGCCGAATTGAAGCTGGAGCAAATGCCAAGGTGTAGAGTCCATGGAATCCACTTCTACTCCCAGTACCAGTCACCTCTGCAGTAGCCCTGAAAGATGCTTCTTCCCCCAAGGTAGCTCATTCTGTTGTTAAACAGTGGGTTTGTCATCTGCCTGCTTCTAACCATACCCATTATTTCTGAAACAATACAGAATTTCTTTTCTAAATACAACATCTGTCCAGAAAGTATCCAGCCATTTACTACGAAAAATTGAGGCATTTACTGAAGATGATACAAGAAACATTGTACAAAGGACAATGAAGCCTCAGTCTCCTTCAAAGTAGGCATGTTGGGACCTCACACGGTTCTCCCAATTACCGTCATATTTTCCTGAATCTTATCAATGGTCTGAAATCTCTTCCCTTTCAAAGGTGATTTCAGTTTTGGGGAAAGCCAGAAGTCCCAGGGCACCAAATCTGAGCTGTAAGGGGGCCGAGTCACCTGGGTGGTTTGACATTTTGCCAAAAAAATGTATGAGAGATAATGTGAGAGTGGGTGTGTCATCTGTCATGAGTAAGCTGCCAATCACCAGTTCCCCATAGCCATGGCCTTCTGAATCATCGGAATGGTTTCCAATGTTCAAGCTCAACGTAAAATTTCATGCAGATTCGATGCTGTACTCGCTCAGTCATTTTGAATGCGATGGCCACACAGTACACATGCGCACTCAGTGGTCTCTACCTCCCCCACTGACTAGTACCATGAGGTCATCATTGTTCATGCATGTGCATTTCAGTCCACTCTCCTTGGCTGCCAGGTTACATCAGTGTCATGCAAACCATTCTCATAATATTAGCAATGCTGTTCCAAAACCTTGTGATACCTCTATGATCCCAATCTTTCTTTCCAGGCTCAGCCTCCTTCTTGATGATTTTATGGCCAACATGTTAACAGGTCCGTATCTTTGTTAGTTGTCTAACCAAGATGGTTACTTAATCTCATCAAGACTAACTTTCTTCATTTTGTGGGGATTATAATTGCACTCACTTTGGTAAGGTGTTGTGAGGCTTAAATTGGTAAAAACACGTATAAGCATCTAATACAGCATCTGGCACATGGAAAATGTTTTAAAAATAGAAATTGCTATGAGGAAGAGTAAGCTATTATGCCAAGCATAAGACGTCTTAATAAATGGCACCTAAAACTGAATACCAATGGGCCTCATTTGATGGAGTATAGGATTTCTGCCTCACATGATTTAAATCCTAAATTTCTTCAGTACTGTTTATAATATTACATTAACTATTTCAGTAATCTTACCTCACTTTGGGTTCATATTCCGCTCTAATATATCCATGCTTTTTTTCATATGATCAGCTCCCATGCCAGATTGTCCACCACCCTGAACCTGTAAAGCTTGTTCTTTAAACCTAAATCCTGTTCTTTACTCATCTTTATTAGTTTTCATCATGTTGATTTGATTGAGCATTCCAGCTTCCCAAGGTGATTTTGAATTTGAGTCTCATTTATGCTTTTAATCAAACTCCTTGAAGCTGGCCTGTACCCCTTTTGTATGTCACCATTAACCTTTGAGTTTATCCTTGCTTTCTGGTATGTAGTATATACCCCAGGATCACCTTGTACTTGCCCTGCCCCAAACTTGGAAGTCAGTAATTTCTCCTAGAGGCCAAGGCTCCTTTTAGCGGGAATGCTATTCAGAAATCCAGATTTGGGCTATAAGACTGCTCATTGCTACTGGTGTCACCATTTCCAGACTCTAAGTGATGAAGCTAGAATGTGATAAATAGATGATTGATAGATATTGATATATTTCTAATTCAAGGTTAAAATTATAGGGGGGGGTTTCCTTGTTTCTGTACTCTTATCTCTTACACTGCATTTCTGGGTCCTTAATAGCAGTAACATATTTACACCTTTGCTTTATCCACCAATGTTTTTTAAGATGTTAAATTTACAATTCCAAAATTCTAGTACTAATATTACTAACTGTAAAACTTGCCAGTAACATTTTATTTCTTTGCAGTCCTTTTTGTCATTAGACTGTACCCCACTCAGAGGGTACAGAGCACTGTGCTCAGTGGTCGTTGTGAAGGAGTTCTTTCCATTTGTGGTTCTGCTATTGATTTCAGTTAGCTTCATTTGTTTCCATTTCCTTCCAATGTCAGGATTTATTTTTTTCCATTTTGATCTAATTTAGTATTACAGATATGTAAAATGTTTAACTTGTCAAAATTATATTGAAAGGTATACTCGGAGAAGTCTCCTTTCATTCCTGCCCCCTCCACTCCACTCATCCCCTCTAGGGGATCCACTCTTATTTACTTCTAATACATCATTCCTGTGAATCTTTGTAAATGTGTGTGTGTGTGTGTGTAAATGTATATGTAAATATATGTATGTAAATACATAAATGTAAAATTAAATATATGTATGCATTACTAATGTGAATGTGCAAACCTATATATGTATTTATTCATATTTATCCATTATTATTTCCTTTCTTAAATACAAATTAACTATAGTGTTTTATACCTTGCTTTTTTCACTTAACAATAATATCCTGATTGTGACTACATAGTAGTATAGAAAAATCTTTATTTTCAAGAGCTGTGTAAGTACCCTCTCATATGGGTGCACCGTTGCTTATTCAGTTGTTCCCATATGGGTGAATGTTTGGGTTGTTTCCAATCTTTTCTAATTACAAGTAATGCCAGTGAATAACCTTGTGAGTATGTGGTTTCATATTTTCTGAACTGTGTCTTTGGGGTAGGGCCTTGCAAATGGGTTAGTCAAGTAGTAGGGTAAAGGCATCTTTAATTTTGTTAGGTTTTGCTCAATTCCACTCTGTTGTGATTGTGCCATTTTGCATTTCCATCAATAGTATATGAGAGTGCTGCTTTCTTCTACAGCCTCACCAACAAGATGTGCTGGTAAACTTTACGGCTTCTGGTGTGTGAATCATAGTTAAAAAGACTCTTCTGTCTCCCAGGTCATAAAGGAATTCACTAGTGTTTTTAGAATTTGGAATTTTTTTTTTTTTTAGCATTTAGATCTCTTGTTCATTTACAAGTTTTTACTAGTATACGGTGTAAGGTTGAGATCTAGTTTTATCTCTTAGTAAATGACAATAGAATTGTCAGGGCCATCATTTATTTTAAAGTCTGTCTTTTCTCTGGTGATTCAAAATGTCACCTTAATCATATACTAGGTATCTGTACTTACTTGGGTCTATTTCTTCCATTGGTCTTTCTTCACATTCTTTCCTCACTTCTGTGTTTGATTACTTAGAGATGTCTTACGGTATGTTTTTAATATCTATAGGGCTAGTTTAGAGCTTTTCATTTGCTGTGGTTCCCTGGCTCCTTTTGATTTTTTTCTTCCTATGCTCTTTAGAATCAATTTATCTAACTTCATGGATAAAAACCATTTAATATTTTTATTCAATCCATATTAAATTTTTTATGACATTTATGAGATTGACTTGTTCTATCCAAGAATAAGATACCTCCTTACTTGTCTAAGTCTAGTTTTCTTTATTTCCAAGAGTATCTTAAAGTTTTCCTCACATGTCATTTGCATGTTTCTAAGGTTTATCTCTAGGCATTTCATCTTTTTTGGTAAGTAGGATCTTCTCTTTCATTGTATCATCTGACTAGATATTATTTGTGTATATGAGGGCTATTGAATGTGTTAATTTGAATTGTTTTATCCACATGTAGTGATTTTTTTTTAGTTGACCATCTTGTGTTTTCATTTATCTCTCACACTAACTAAAAATTAAAATAGTTTTCCCTCTTTCTTTCCTATTCGTTTACTGTAACTCTTTTCTTTTATCTGATTACATTGGCTAATGCCTCAAAATCAATAATAAATATTAGGTAGATAACAGCATCCTTGTCTTTTTTTTTTTTTTTTTTTTTCTTTAGAAGAAATTTCTCTAGTGATTTCTCTTTATGTAAAATGCTGGGTTTGGAGCTAAGTTGTGTATATATTTTATCATGTAAAGTATTTGCCACTCCTATTTCATTACTTTGTTTTCTAAAATCAAGAAAAAGTGTTGAATTCTGTCAAATGCCTTTTAAGTATCACAGGAAATGATCCCATAATATTCCTCTTCGGTAAATA